TTGTGGGTTGGGGGCTCCTCTGTATCCAGAAGTTTACCATCTTTGGTTCTGGATGGGGTTGCACAACTCCAGACAGACCTGGTGTGTAATCTGGGGGTCCTCCTGGACACACGACTCCTGCTCAAAGAGCAGGTGGCAGTCGTGGCCAGGAGGGCCTTCACTCAACTATGTGTTGTGCACCAGTTATGCCCTTTCCTGGATTGGGAGTCCCTCCAGTCAGTCACTCACGCCCCAGTCATCTCCCACATAGACTATTGCAATGTGCTTTACATGGGGCTACCCTTGAAAAGTATCTGAAAGCTTCAGCTGGTTCAAAATGCAGCCGCAGGGGCAACTTTAGGTGCCCCAAAGATGGCACATATTTGTGATGGAATGGTATGGTGAAGGCCGCACTCGGGGAGATAAGCATTTCCTTAGCCCCCGGAATGAGCATGGGAAGGTGAAGAGGATGAGACTGGCACCACCCTAAGGAAATGCTTATCTCCCTGAGCGATACCATTCAATCACAATATTACACCTTTGTTATGTGAGCTGCACTGGATCCCAGTTTGCTTCCGGGTCCAATTCAAGGTGTTGGTTATCACCTTTAAAGCCCTACATGGCACGGGGCCAGATTACCTGAGGGACTGTCTCACCCCCATTATATCGACCTGTCCCATGCAGTCAAGCAGAGAGGGTATGCTGTGGACCCCGTCGACGAAAGAATGTCGAGACTTCTCTACTGTGGCCCCCACCCTATGGAATACCCTCCCCTCAGAGGTGAGGCAGGCCCCAAATCTCTTGTCCTTCCAGAAAGCAGTCAAGACCTGGCTCTGCCAACTGGCATGGGGCAAAAAAAGGGGCAACCAACCCTGGGGGTGGCTAGCACCTTGAAGATGCTACCTTATGTTAACATCTTACTGATCACCAGCATCTTGTGAGGCAGGCCCCAAATCTCTTGTCCTTCCAGAAAGCAGTCAAGACCTGGCTCTGCCAACTGGCATGGGGCAAAAAAAGGGGCAACCAACCCTGGGGGTGGCTAGCACCTTGAAGATGCTACCTTATGTTAACATCTTACTGATCACCAGCATCTTGGAAGATATTAGTATTTGTGTATGTGTTTAGTTTTATTGTATTTTTACTGTATTTTTATACTGGTTTTATTGTATTTTAATTAATATTTATTTGTTGTTTTATTGTAAGCTGCCCAGAGTTATTTCTTCGTGAGATGGGCGGTATCTAAATTTGAAATATAAATAAATAAAAAATAAAAATAAAAAATAGACTTCCACCCAGAGTAACTGTCTAAGTACATTTTATTCCATTACAAGCTTACTGAGAAAATGTTTTGAAGGCTGAAACCTAGAGAACTGTAGTGAGAGAAATCCCATTTTGAGATTCAGACACTGCAAGAATCTGAATTTATTCGGGTAAATGGGCAAAGACGTCCAAAGCCCACAAAAATTTATACAGATTCCATCTCAGATGGGCTTTTAAAAGAGGAGGAGGCAGCTTTACTTTGCCTTTTTCTTAGACGTATGGGTGCATCTTTTCCTTGGCCATTTCAGAGCCAGATAAGGAATTCTGTAACCCAAAGGTTGGGTTGGAGATCCAAAAAAAAATACATCAATTTAAAGGACATTGGAGCTGGATGGGGGATTAGAGTTTTGGTTTTAATTTTATGGAAAATGATTTGATATGCTGCTTTTGTTATTCTGTCTTAGCTCTGTGCATGCACATGGATGCTCTTGGCTTAAGGAACAAAGCCAGGATGATCATTTTAGATCCCCCCCCACTTTTCCTTTTGTTTTTTCAACTCCACTTTAGTACTTTAATTTTAGTACTCATAATAAATACTTGGATTCTTACTGAATCAGTTATTTTAATTCTGAAAGGATTTTAATCTAAGCACATGTTTCTCCCCACTTGGCTAACTACAAAAGGAAGGAAAGCAGGGAAAGAGATCACTACTTTACCTATTCCTGAGTGCCACTGTGAAAAAGTGCCAGCTGGTGGCATTTACTGAACAGGCTCTGCCAAGAGTATGGGAGGGTACAGTAGCAACTATAAGGAAAGGGCTGAGAGACACCCCCCACCCCATGGGAAACAGAGGGGCCAGTCCATCACATCCCAGACATGCATTTGAATGTGAACAATTACAAATATGATTATACAGAAGGAAAAACAAATCAGATACTTAGATTGTTGAGAATATGTACCGCAAAATGTGAAGCAGGATTTTTCCTAAACTGATCTCGTGCTAGAATTATCTGATACTTTGTAAGAGCAGATATTTCACGCTGTGATAAGATCCGGAGTCTAGTTAGCCGACTGGTAAAAATTTCCAAGACCTGCACATAAAACAGAAGTCACAAATGAAATTTATCCATGTCATAAGCGGCTCTGCACAGCACAGAGAGACAATTCCTGGTATGAGCTATTTCACAGCAAGTGGAACTAAGAAGACACTCAAGGCTTCTAAACAAGTAGTTATCCAGTCTCTTATAGTTCAGTAGATGGGTGAGATCAGGGACACAACTCAGCCTCCTGAATTTCTGCAGGGCCCCAGAATGCCGCCCTAGAAGGCCATCCAGTGACGTTACCAGAACAAGTGACCAATTTTTTTCAATGTGGTAGTGGTGGTGGTGGTGTGCAGGTGTGAGAGAGTAATACTTTTGTGGAAGTGTTAACCCTCTGGGAGACAAATCATTAGCATTCTCAACTTTATCACCACTTGCTGCCTGAAACTGCACCACCATAATTCAGGAATTTTGCCACTGAATTTTGATGGCACAATTGGGGGTAAGTGGGTGTGTTAAGGACTGCATTCAATCTGCAGTTAGATGTTAATAGGTTATGTACCATGAAATCCATTAGTTGTTTTGCCCGTAAAAAAAAATGTTCCACTTGATTCAGATACTGCTTTCTTAAAATCTTCTCTAGCACGTAAGAAAATCTACCCAATACATTCTAGCAACTAGGATAAATTCATGAATTTAAATGCCTTAGGACTTCTAGACAATAATTGGATTCAGTTTCTTTTCTGGGAGAGGGAGAAGTATTAGTTAAGGGCTTAGCTAAGTTCTGCTACATACGCTCCCAATCAAGGAAATGGAAGGGGGACCACATATGGAATTGAACAGGAAATTAACAGAACAGCAATAAGGTATCAGAATGGTATACAGTGGTACCTCTAGTTACGAACGCCCCTCCTTACGAATTTTTCAAGATACGACCAGCTCTGGCCCAAAAAATTTACCTCTAGTTGCGAACTCCGCCTCTACTTATGAACCGGATCCGCGGCCATTTTCCCTGCGGCGACGTGGTCGCGGCTTCCTGTGGGCGAGAT